GTTTTATGGGTGGTAAGTCGGTGTTAGTTGCAGTGGTGTCGCCCACCTGTTTTTTGAGTAGGGAGACATGGAAAACTGGATGGATGTGCGAGCCCTTGGGAAGTTGTAGTTTATAGGCCACCTTGCCTATTCGTTCCTCCACTAGGTACGTCCTATAATAGCGATTAGCCAGTTTGTGATAGGCCCGCCTATGAACCGTCTGCTGTCGGTATGGGTGGAGCTTGAGAAAGATTAGATCGCCCACTTGGAACTCGACATCTCTTCTTTTAGCGTTAGCCATTTGGGTCATGCGGTTAATGGCCGCATGTAAGTTTACTTTGAGTTGCTGNAAGATACTGCTCTAGACAACGGTTGACCACTTCTGACTGTCCATCAGTCTGGGGGTGATAGGCGGAGCTCATCTGCAATTTGGTACCAGACATCTTAAAGAACTCCCTCCAAAAGTGGCTGATGAAGATAGGGTCTCTGTCACTAACTATCGTCTTGGGCATACCATGCAGCTTCACAATGCCTTCTACAAACCTTTCAGCTACTATCTTCGCCATATAGGGGTGCGGCAGGGTCAGGAAATGGGCTGATTTGGTGAGACGGTCTACTACCACAAAAATAGTGGTTTTGCCTTTGGAGGGTGGTAGTCCTTCTATAAAGTCCATGGTAATGTCGTCCCATACTTGGCAGGGGACGGGTAATGGCTGTAATAGTCCTATCGAGGATAGAGTGTCCGCCTTATTTTTTTGGCAAATGGCACAAGAAGCTACATATTATTGAATATCTTTGTACATGGAGGGCCAATAGAACTGCTGTGCCATACGCTTGTATGTGCGTAGTACCCCAGAATGTCCACCATAGGGGGAGTCATGGAACTCCTGTAAGAGTATAGGAATGAGGTGGAACTGAGGAGGGATCACACGCGGTTTTTGTAACATACCAGTCCATTTTTCCATGTGTAGGGAGCTCCTAGGATTCTCCGTTGCCAGCTTGCTGATGCGGATCATGTAGGGGTGGGTGCTGGCTTCTTTCTTGATGGTGTCCCACAGAGATGTTTGAGGCATGTAGAGAGTATTAAGGCTGGGACTGCCCAAGACTCTCGAAAGTGCATCTACAGTAGAGTTTTCTCGTCCAGGCTTGTAAATGATTTCATAGTCGTACCCGAGCAGTTTGGATACCCATTTCTGTTGTTCTGGTGTCCCAATGCGCTGCTCTAATAGATACTTGAGGCTACGCTGATCGGTTTGGACGTAAAACTTGCGGCCCAGCAGGTAAGGTCGCCATGTCCGTATTGCCTGAACAATGGCAAGCATTTCTTTGGCATATGTGGACCAACTTTGCTTGTTAATGCCTAGAGCTCGGCTCATGAATGCAATGGGTCGTCCCTGTTGCGTCAATACTGCTCCAATACTTGCGTCGGAAGCATCTGACTCAATGGTGAAGGGCTCCTCAAAATTAGGCATTGCCAGTGTGGGAGTCGTGGTCATTGCCTTTTTTAAGGCTGTAAATGCTTCTTGGGCTTCGGTGGTCCATCTGAATTCACCCTTCTTGAGAAGATTGGTAAGGGGTCGAGCTATAATCCCATAGTTGCGGACGAACTTCCTGTAATACCCTGTAAGGCCTAAGAAGCCATGTAAGTCAGTAATATGAGTGGGTTGAGGCCACTTAAGCATAGCCTCAATTTTCCCTTGGTCTACCTTGACCCCGTGGGAAGTGACAATGTGTCCTAGATACTCCACCTCTGGCTGGCCGAATATGCATTTACTAAATTTGATAAAAAATTGGTGATGCCTTAAAACCTCAAAAGCTGTTCGAACA